GGGGAGGGGAGGGCGCCGAGAGGAAAGCAGGAGGGGAGCGAGGGAAGGTGTAAGAAAGGAAAAGGAAGAGAAAATGAAGGTAGAAAGAAGGGGAGGGGAGCAGAGAAGGAAAGAGAGGGAAGAACCAATGAGAAGAATGAAGGGGAAAGCAAAGGAAAGGTTTATCAGAGGAGCTTCCCTCCTCTCTCCTCGTAAGCACAGAGCACCTGGAACCTCGCGGTCGAAAGGAACAGGGTCGGGTCCCGGGGCTCAGAGGGTCTGTCTGTCCACAAGGGGCTGAACCCCCAGGGAAGGACAGAAATAAAACAATATATTGTCTGCTTGCACACAGCAGATCTGGGAGTAAAAGTCTTCAGACCGTGACTCAACTTCAAGACGGTGTTGACTACTCTTTTAATTTCAGCATTTCCCATATAAAATTGAGCATTGGCTTATTAATTTTTATAAAAATCTTTAAGGATTTCTATTGGAATTAGAATAGAATGTTTGAGGAAAACTAGTATCTCTACAATGTCAAGTCTTCCCATTCATAAACATGGTAATTTTTGCCCTTTATTGAAGGCTTTTAAAATTTATTTTGGTAATATTTAATATTTTAGTGTAAATGTCCTATGCAACTTTTATTAGGTTTTTTTCTCGGCTATTTCACTTTTTATTCCATTGCAAATGGCACCATGTTAAAATCCTAATTTTTTGTTGCCAGGAGGTAGAATTCAGTGAAAATTTTTTTGTATATTGGCTCTGTATCCAGCAACTTTGTTAAATTAGTTACTAATATCTCATCTCTAGATTCTTTTGAATTTTCTCCATGCACACTCGTGTGATCTGTAAATAATGAAAATTTCACGTCTGTCTTTCCAATATTAATAACGTTTTTTCTTGCATTATTGAACTTAACACGTCCTCCAGTATAATTCTGAATAAAAGTGGCTAGCGTGGACACCACAGTTGCATGCCTGGGTTTAGGTGGGGAGCTTTCAATATTTTCTTATTAAGTATATTTGTCTTTGGTCGGTGCTTTTTATTTGATTGACAAAGTTCTCTTCTAGTATTAGTTTGATGAGAATTTTTTAAAAATCATAAATAGATATTGAATTTTGTCCATGCATTTTTGGCAGTAATGAGATGATCATGCGGGTGTTCCCTTCTTTCTTTTATTAAGAAAGTACACTGATTGCATTGCATTGCTCACGTGTATTGTATACTGTGATACACTAGGTCCCTTTTGAATGACTGAAAGACTTTTCTCCCAACTATAAACTTTATGTGCTGACAGCTCTTAGTTATCAGCCTTCTCTAGGAACAGCCACTGGCTGAGGAGAGCTGTGTGACAAAATGGCACTTCCCTTCCTGAGGCCAGCCTGTGTATATTCACATGAAAAAAGATATAAATTAAAAAATATATACAATACACACACATGTTATTTCTTGTGTAATACAATACACAAGTAATTTAGTATCTTGTCTTCTAGTGTATTATAAGGTTATAGTATATCGTCCTATTGAATTGATATCAGTATGAAATACCTCATTTTATCTCAAGTAATATTATTTGCCTTGTATTTGTTTTATCACTGACAACAGTAGAGTTATGCCAGCTTTCTTTTGGTTAGTGTTTGCATGTTATATTTCTCCATTATTTTATGTTCAACCTTTCTGTCATCTTATATTTCACGGGCCTCTCTTACAAACAGCATATATTATGTATTGATTAGTTGATTAAAATATTGTGACCAGAGACTTGGAGGAACCTAACCCTGTGTTTCTGCTAATTCAGCGTTTGCAGGAGCTAATTACTGCGAATAATGGGAATTGACTGGATAAGTATTGTGAACATGTGGGTTCTACTAGCTTCTTTCTGGGCAGATTTAATGTGCAAATGAGTGGAGAGATGTGAAATGCAGTCACAGCATCGTGGAGCAAATACTAGGCGTGTTGACAGCAAGGAGTTGCCATATCTTTCAGTTCTACAAAGTAAATAGGGGGTGTCTCTCACTCTGACAAATGGACAAAAATCCCCTAGGTCATTTCCCTTAAAAATTCTACATCAGAAGGTAAAAGGGCTGGGCCCCTATTAAAAGTTCTGATGCACGAAAGCTTATGCTTCCAAAGGTTTTCTCTGTTAACGAGTAAGCTTAGCACAGGCAAGGAGAGCACCCACCGCAGTCCAGTAAGCTCGGGCTTAGGTACAGCCACCGCCAATGTGACTTCAGCGGCTAACATCCCCTCTCAGAACCCCGCCCAAGGACAACAGGACCTACTTCACAGCCCTGTTGTGAGGCCTGAGCGAGGTTCAGAAGACAGTGACTCAATTACCAAGGGGCTCAGAGCCCAGTAAGTGTTCAGCCCTTGTTGGCTGTTATTACCATATTGGTTGTTGGAAACTTGAATTTCATTTCCCCCAGGAATGATAAAACTGAAAGTGTGAAAGAGGGATAGGATTAAAAAAATATCCATACAGCCTCCCTTGTATGGGTCCCCTTTTACTTCTCCATTCCTCTGTCCCCAGCATTGCTCTCAGAGGCCCTGGGAACTCCCGTTCTGACATACCACATGCAACTCCTCGCCCAGCCTTGGCTTGGGTGTTCTTTCCTGGACAAAGAACAAGGCAAGATTAGGGGCTAGGGATGGAAGGGAAGAAGGGACAGCCCTTACGCTGACTGGTTCTGTTGGGCCAGAGCTTGCTCTCAATCTCTCCTCTCCAGTCCCCTTCCTACTGCAACGTGGTCCTGGGATCAGCTTTAAAGCCACAGCCTGACTACTTCCTTAGGGGATGCATATCCCTGGTCATGGATCCAGACCATAGCTTTCAATCATCATCACAAGTTTGGTATCGCAAACAGTATGTCAGAGCTGGACGACTCTTAAAGATCACCTAGACTGGGGTTGGTAAAGGCCTGACACAGTGCCACCCTGCCACTCTCCTACACCCTGGAAGATACTGTTCCCCACTGGGGACCAATGGATCTCCTCATCACAGCCCTGCAGGGAGTGGGTCAATGAGAGCACTGGGCTCAGGGTTCAGCTCTAGCTCCTGCCCAGGGCTCTCTTCATTCTCAGAAGCGTCCACTCTCATGACATGCTTCCTGTGGGTCACTGAAAGCCTCAAAGGCTCTTAGCATGAAATAGGATGAAGCCCTCCTGGGGCACTGGAGTCTGGATGCTACACTTTGAACCCCTGCTGGCTACTTACTAGGCATATCCCTGGGCGTGTTACTTCACCTTTCTGGGCCTGACTTTTTCATCTAGATGAGACGAGCAAAGAATGTTATCGGGATTATAGGTGAAGTATGTCACATACTTTCTGGCATACAGTCGGCATTCCAGAAAGCTGGCTTTTCTTTTTCCTGTGGCTCAGACCACTGTCGGAATCTTTCTCAGAATAGCCGCCCAACCTGACACTGTTTGTTTATTTAGATCCCTAAGCAAACGAAGTGAATCGGACAGTTAACCAGTGCCACCTGCGTGGGCTGTACTCACCAAATCAATGATGCCAATGTTGTTCCAGCCTTGCATTATGGGAAGAAAAGAGATGAACATGGGGATGACCCAGCAGCCTCCCAGCATTAGTGCGATGCGCAGAGGGGTCATCTTGTTCCTATAGACCAAAGGCTGGCAGCAGATGGCATAATACCTGC